CGGCGACCAGAGGCGGCGGGGCTGTCGCGCTCCGCGAGGAGAGCTGGTGGCGTCCGCCCGCGCGCGGCCGTTGCCTGAGCTTGGTGCCCAGCCCTGGGCGTGCCGTCCCTGAGCCCGGGGCTTACCGTCGCCACCTTTCCCGCCCTGCCTTTGACCCGCTGTGTGGCCTTGGCGCGTCGCTTGCCCTCTTGTCGCCTGGATCCGAACGGTGCGACGCGAGGGCGGTGTGAATTAGACGCACGCGCGCGGGTGTCCAGGGCGGGCCGTGTTCCTTTTGTCATTGCATCTGAGCGCAGTTGATTGACCCAGAGTGACCGGGGCTCCTGCAGAGAGGTGAGGTTGGCGGGCAGCGTAAGGAGGCCGTGCCACACTCGGGCAAAGTCACCCCCTCCAGAGCTCCGATAGACTCCCAGGAGGGGAATCCCTGCCTCGCGCTCCAGCCTCACGTCCTGGGGGCGGGCTTTGTCCCTTGATGGAGATGAGCCGCCTGATCCAGACACTGGCCTCTGAGGGGTGGCAGGCTGCCCCCAGTCCCGTTCCCGACCCCCACAGCAGACCACAGGCTACTGTCCCCGCCTCGGCCAAGTGTGCGCATCAAGCGACTCAGTGGGGATTCAGGTAGGGTGAGATTCTTTTCAGACTGGGTGGTTTATCCAAAGGGTGCAGGCAGGAAAATGCATCCCACCCTGAGACGGGTCACTAGGGGTCGGAGGGGCCTTGGGGGCCATGTAGTCCAGAGCTCCCCCATCTGAGCCCCAAGCCCTGAGCTTTGGTGGGGGTGGTGAGGAGGGGTCAGGCAGGAAGGAAAGAGCCCCCTGCGTGCTGTTCACCTACTAGTGGCTGCGTGGGCGGCCATGATGGTCAGTGGTGCTGGGAAGAAAACACAGCGTGCGGGGAGGGGAGGGGTGGGGTGGGGCTACATCACACAGAAAACGGAGTCACTCCGAATGGAGTTTGGGAAGAGGCCCAAAGGGGATGAGGACATGAGCCACCCAGGCATCCCTGGGCCTGGATGTTGGGGGAGGCGTCGGGGCTCTCAGCTGTCGGTGGGCGGGTGGGGCTTAGGGGGTTCTGGACCCAGTAAGGCCAGTCCTGCAAGGGCTGGGAAGCCAAGCCAGTTGACACCAGGACTGGTTGGAAAGAGTGGCCCTCAACTGTCTGGAAGAGCAGGAGGCCCAGCAGGGCCAGCCACAGATGGGGGCTGGGGGCAAGTGTCCAGGCCAGTCCCTCAGCCAGGCCTGTGAAGCCACAAAAGACCTGGGTCTCAGTCCCTTAATCCCCTCCTCCAAGAGTCAGGCTGTGCTGACCAGGTTCTCCAAGGACAAGTGACTTTGTGACCTGGGCCAGAACAGGCAGGGGCCAGACCAGCACTTGGAAAGTTGGTGGGCATCTGTGCCAGGGACAGGGCTCTGCCCATGGCAGCCCCTCCTGAGCTGGGTTTTCTGTGGACCTATGACAACCACCTCAACTCACCAAGGTCACCTGTTTGTTTGTCAAAGCCATGTGGCTGATTAAGTTGTATCCACCTGCCCCTCTCACCCCTTATTTGGAAAACTATTAAAGGCTTTCAGTGGTTCAAGAAATAGAGTCTGTGCCCTTTAAAGTAATGCCTCTCATTTGGTTTGATGATCTCACTTAAAACCCCAAAGCATTTCAAAACCCTCCTTTCAGACTATAGGGAGGGACTTGCAGACCAGAGGTGGTCTTTGGGTCTCAGAGTTCACACATGGGAGGGGTCAGATCAGGACCACGTTTTATGTTGAACATGCTGGAACATGTGTTTTGGGCCACTGGGGGGCAGCCAGCCTGCCTGGCCTGGGCCTGAGTGCCAGTCATCATAGTGCCGTTTATCAAAACCTTGCTGTGGATTAACCCTCGGGATGGTATTAGAATTGACCCATTTTACAGGAAGCTGAGTCTCACAGCAAAGGTGCTGGTCCCACAAGTGACACAGTGGTTGTGGCATGGCCACCTCCCTCTCCCCTTCCTGCCTGCCTCTGGCTCCCTCTGAGAATGGCACCTGCTCCCACCCAGGGGAGGCCTGGTGCTGATAAGGCCCTCCTGAGCGGGGAGAGCAGCAATGGCCAGGCACCTGCACACCTAATACCAGGTGGTTGTTTTGGGCAGGTCCCCCGACCTGCTGACATGTGAGTGGCTTCAGTGGCAGGAACCCCAGGACAGAACTAACAAACTCTGCCTTGCCCACTCCAGGACAGAGGTGAACTGATGCAGCTTCGAGGAAGCAGTGGGGCCAGAGGAGTGGATTGCCAGGTCTGCCAGCCCACCCTGGCACACCCCAACATACTCCAGACCACTGCAGTGCCTTGTTCCCCAGTGCTTAGGATGGGGGAGGGTGGTGTGAGAGAAGGCCGTAGGCTGCCAGGCCATGCCCACCATGATGCCCACCCTGGAGTGAGCTGGTCAGACTGAAGGGGCCTCCACAAGCCCACCAGGTGGGACATATATCTAGCCTTGTCCCAGGGCCAGCCAGCATCTTCTGTGAAGCAGGGTAAGCCTGGCCTTGCAGCTCTGTCCCTAGGAGGGCAGGCAGTAAATGTAAATTGCAGAGCTCCCCAGGCAGATGGCAGGGCTTGCATCTCGGCTCTGCCCTGCCCAGCACCTGCCCAGACACACAACATCACTGGGCCAAGCCAGCTGGCCAGCAGCCGCTCTCCGCACACCACTGTCAGCCCTGTCCAAGTCACATGGCCCTATGTCCAGGCCAGGGCGCTGGGTCTCAGGGACCAAGGAGACCCTGTGCAGGGCTTCCATCCAAAGGGACTGCTTTTCATGGCCATTCAGATTGACTTGAGGGCAGCTCAGACCCACTGCAGGCCCATTTTCTGGGTCATCAACTCTTTCCTTAGCCATGTCTAGTCCTCTGTCAAGCACACCACTGAGTCCTTCGCTCTGAGCCCGGTTGTGTTTGGGGCTGAACCTTGTTTCTGGAAAAACAAACAGAAATAAGGGGAGGCCAAGGGCTGTCTCATCTTTCTGGAAGGATTTCTCTGTTGCATTTCCCAGAATCACCAGGTTTTGAGGACACCTGGAGGCTGCAGTGCTTGTGAGGGCTGGTTCACTTTGAGGTTACCCTTGCTCCCAGGGCTTCCTTTGGGGCCCCAGCCCAAGTGGGGCATGATTTACTAGGGTCTCTTCACTGCCAGGGGGCAGCTGAGCCTCTCACCTCCTCTTCTGGAACTGTGAGCATCAGGGCAAGAGCACTTGCCCTGGACACTGCCCCTTCTTGCTTGCTCTTTGATACTTCTCAGAAGATTCTTAGTGGTTGGCAGCAGGAGTAGGAAGGATTTCTAAAACTCTGGGCAAAGAAAGCGTTTATAACTTGTCCGTGAGTTTCCTTTGGCTGTCATAACAAATTGCCATGAACTGAACAACTTAAAACAACAGAAATTTATACTCTTAAAGCCTGAGATCAATGTGGGTGGGGCCCCAGCTCCCTCTGAGGCTCTGGGGGAGGACCCTTCCTGCCTCTTCCAGCTCCTGGTATTCCTTGGCTTGTGGCCACATCGCTCCAGTCTCTGCCTCTGTCTTCACTTGGCTTTCTTCCCTGTGTGTCTGTGTGTCCTTTTCCTGTACGGACACCAGTCTCTGGATTTAAGGCCCACCTGGTTAATCCAGGATGATCTCATCTCTAGATACTTACCTTAATTACATCTGCAAAGACCCTTTTTCCAAATAAGGTCACATTCACAGGTCCCAGGGATTTGATGGGAATATCTTTTGGCCTCCTATAACATGTAACTAAAATTCTGGATATTTTCAACAAAACCCAGGAAATGAGAAAGGTTATAAAAATAGGACTGGGAAACACACAGCACACTCAAATCAGGGCAATTCACAGACAATTTACAAATATAGGCAGATGAAGAGAAACCACAGGGAGTGCTGTGCCTGGGCACCATCACCACCACCAGGACCAGAGCCCTGGAGACGTGATGCCTGCTCCCCAAGGAGCTATGGCTCTTGGTGGGAGGAGGGAGCCAGGGTCCCCTTCCTCCTCTGATCTCCTCTGGGCTCATGTCAGGATAAAAAAGTCCATTGATGTAGTCCCTATGGGTTAGTGCAGGATGAGAAGAGTGGAGAACAGACCCAGAGGAGTAAATGAAAGACAACCACCTAGCACATTGTAGATGTGGACTAATTCCCACTGTTGAGAGAGAGGTACAAGTTTTTTTTTTGTTTTTTTTTTTTTTTTTAAAGATGACCGGTAAGGGGATCTTATCCCTTGACTTGGTGTTGTCAGCACCACGCTCAGCCAGTGAGCGAACCAGCCATCCCTATATGGGATCCGAACCCGGGGCCTTGGCGTTATCATCACCGCACTCTCCCGAGTGAGCCACAGGCTGGCCCAGAGACAGGTACAAGTTTAAGCATGATTTTTAAAAAGTTAAGAGTAGGGCTGGCTGGTTAGCTTACTTGGGAGAGCATGGTGCTGACAACACCAAAGT